AGTCCTAGATGTTGACCTTGACGGGGTGTAAATAACCCCACTCAACAGCACAGTACTTCTTGAGAGCAAACCTGCCTTTCAGTTCACATGGGACTTCACCTCACCAGTTCACTTCCCCAATCCAAATGCCATGCCCCGCCCCTCCCCGTTACTATGGCAACCAATAGCAAGCATGCATCAAGGAGAGTCCCATGCTGGAGATCTGGCTGACAGTTCATCTGAGGTTACGGATTCAATGTGCCCTTTTCCGTTCTTGAGTGACAAAAAAACCCCCCTTGACACCAGTTTGGGTACATGTTGACTTTTGAAAGAGTCCTTCCAAGCAACCTGGTGCTTATGGAGTCATATGATGTGGGATCTGAAGGTGTGAGATGTTGATCCACCTCTAATGGCCGTTTCATGTTCCCAGCTGAAGTAGCACTCAAGGCCTCTTCAAACTTCTCACCAGGCAGGATAATGGAGGTCAATGAGCAGGAGGGTGATCTTCAGTATGAATCATTAGCATCAAGGCTCAATTGAGGTGAGTCCTTGAGATCTCAAGAAGCTTCTCAACAAGAGAGAAGCAAAGGACTCTATCCAGAACTGCCAAGAACCTTGGAAAAAAATGTTCAGCAATTTACTTGTGGAGGGAATGAACATTTCTTCCTTGGTTGGACGGATGCAGTACCTGAGAAAGTTGTAAAAGACAAACAAAGTGGAATTGTCTCTCCAAGTTCTTCTGAAGGAATCATAAATGTCTGAAATTCTTCCTTAAGGTTCTTATTCTGTAAATATTTGGTCTGGTGGCCAACCCCTTTAATGGATGGGAGAATACCTTAAGGGTTGACTTGCGTAGTCCAAATAGACTACAAGATTTGGGAAAGCACTGAGGAGTGATTAAAGTAACACAATCCTTATCCATCAATGGAAGATTAGTGTCTTGTTCTTGAGCAAAATGGAGTCGGCAGTCTTTAGTCTGTCGGATGATAAACAGACAAACATGAACTAAACCAGAATTATCCCAGATGAGCGGTAAAGCCTATATCATTCAAAGATGAAAGTCAAACTAAAAGATAATCTCATCCGCATCTTCTCTCTTTGAAGCCAACAAGTCCTTGGTGGTTGGTAGAACTTCTTCAGGAAAGGTTTTATCTGCTAACCAACTGAACAAAAACTAATCTTTCATTAACTCACAAGGGTTGCAATACTTTTAGTAGCAGGACCAGGAAGTCTGTCCCACTTCTCCCACTGTTTGACACTGAGCAAGGACGTTCTTTCCATCAACAGTGGTTTCTCAGTTGAGCCCATTTTTCTTTAATCACCGTTCAGCGCTCTTCCCAACCTTGCAGGAGACTATCTGTTTGGACTTGTGTTTTTCAACCCCTGCAGCTTTAAGATCTGTAAGGTTGAGTCCGAGAATTCCCTGGCCAGCTTTAAAGTTGATGAGGAACACCGGTTTAGACCATTGCAGATTTTCCATTCTTTGCTGGGCATCCTGTCGAAATTTCAGTGACTAAAATAAAACAGGTCTGAGTATGATTTTTTGTTTTCTGAGACTAGAGTTGATTAGGTGTAGAAAGAAACCCGACCGGCTAATGCATCTTTGTGGAATGTAGTTATCTTCAAAAGAGGCTTGTTTACACATCTAGTCTAGGACTCGTGGAAAACATTTGATGAAATGTACTGAAACTAATGGACTTGAAATGATGAGATTGTGGGTAATATGCTGGCTGTACAGCAGCAAAAGATAAATAATGGTCATAGATCGTTTTTCTGCATCGTTTTTTTACACAATGCAACGTCTTTGACCCTTTCCTCCGAGCCTGGTGGGGGGGGGGGTTGGCTCAGAAAGGGCCCAGAAGGCAAAATAACCGTGGGAATCGGCAGGGGTGGGATGCAAAATTTTTAACTACCGGTTCTGTGGGTGTGGCTGGGAGGGGAGTGGCCAGGTGGTCATGTGAAGAGAAAACGAGGACAGACGATGTCTCCTCCAGATTCTCTGTTTAAAGATATGAGGAAGCTCTTTCGCCACCAGGTTTCTTCTCCTTGTGCATTATCTGCAGCCAACACTTTTACCGCGTGTCCTCGCGGGAATCCCAACGATCTCACGGAGAAAGGATGGGCAAAGCCGGGAAGGGTAGAAAGGAAACACACTCGCTTTCCCCCGTCTATCTTCTTCGGCCTGATTGGGCTGAAGCCACTTATACGGAGACCGTCAAAATATTTACCCAAAGGATATTTACAAGGGGGCTGGGAACGTCTTCTCAGCGCAAATAGGCCACCTGTGAGGCCTTTCAAAGGTATTTTAAGAGGAGGAGGAGGAGGAGGAGGAGGAGGAGGAGGAGGAGGAAAAAGAGCTTCTGGCTAAGACGGTCCTTGGCTTCTCCTCCTCTTCCCCAATTCAGTTTAATTACCTCTTTCCCCAGTGGATGAAATTTGCATTTTTTTTTCCATTAAAAAACCCAACATCCTGCGTGTTCAGTGGAAAGAGGCATTTATCTGACCCTGCTTAGAAGAGACAAGGCTCTTCCACCACTGTCCCCACCCCAACCCTGCAGAATTTCCCCCTGGTGCCCGTCCTAAGGCCCAGAAGCGGCTTCTGGTC